GTACACAGAATACACACACTCACAAATGCTGAATCAAAGTCGTGGCCACAGTCAACATGATCTCATACATTTTGTAACCAACAGTACTTAGTGTTTCTGATTCAGGACTGTCTAAAGAAAGCAGTTGGCAGTTATACAAGGTTGGATGAGTTTTTTAGATTGCTAAGAGATAGTGTCGAAATACTTGGCTGTGGTTCAGAAAAGGACAAAAAAGCCCAGGGTAAAGATTCTGAGTAAAGATGTAAGTGAAATTAAAGTTCTTAGAGAAGGTGGAATAATTCCAAATAATAACTTAGATCTATATTCTCATTGAAAGTGAAAAAGTAATGTAGAATCATTCTAGGAACTAAGACCTGGATATGAGATGAATCTATTGTGGGCATTTCTCTTTAAGAAAAAGGATAGGCAAGAAAAGTGTGAACCAAGTGCCAATTTTCAGAGCAGAATATCTGTATAGCAAATGGCATTTTACAATTTTGTGTCATCTTGGTGACTGTCCTAGATAAAATGGTTAAACCATTACTGTTATTACATATTATAAAAGAGGATAAAATTGACACAAGGAAGTTCCCAGAAGATCATTTAGTACAGTCCACCCTTTCCTCTGTATCAGCTAATCCTGCCAACCTCATATCAAAAATATTTGGAAAAGGCTAACTAAAGTGACGTATCCTGTTATTCCAGCACTTTCGGGGATGAGACAGGAGAACCATGAGTTTGAGGATAGCCATGTAATGGGGACCCTATCTCAAAAACAGAACAAAGCTGGCCTGGCATGGTGGTGCACACCTTTAATCCCAGCACTTGGGGGAGGAAGGTCAGAAGCAAGTTGTTGAGTTTGAAGACAGCCAGGACTATATAGAAAGACACTCTCTTGAAAAAACAACCAACCAAGAAAACAAGAACAAAAACCATAGCAAAACAAAAATTTGGGAGAGGGGGAACGTGGCTATGTTGAATATGTATTAATCTCTAATTGAACCCAAAATACTTACTTCTTGATGTTATTCTTTAAGAATACAGCATATCAAGTATTTTTATAATATTTACATTGAATTAAATAATGTGAGTAATCTAGAAGTGATTTAAAGTGTACAGATAGGGCCAGACATGGTGGTGAATGAATACCTTTGATCCGGCACTCAGGATCTGCAGAGGATATGCAGAGGCAGACAGATCTGCATAGCAAGTTCCAGGCCAGCCATGGCTGCATAGTGAGGATCCTGTCTCATAAACAACAACAACAAAAAATTCAAGTATATAGGAGGATCTGTGTAGATGGTTGCAGTGGATGCTGTGCCATTTTGTGAAAGGGACTGGAGCATATGTAGATTTAGTATTAACAAAGTATTCTAGAAAAGCAGTATGCCATAGATACCAAGAAAATGGCCCTCTGTGGTAGAGTGGTACCCAAGGTCTTGGCTTGTCATTATTTAGATTGGGGAAAAAAAGGTTATTATTCTGTAGAAAATTAAGTGTATGTTGAAAAATAGAAAAAAATATTATTCATCCCCTGCTTTTAAGTTTAATATATTGTCTTCCAAGCACTAAATATACCTTTAACGTTTTTCTTTATTAATTTAATATATTGTGAACTTATTTCTCTAACACACATGAATCATTTTTTGTGTACATAAACATACCTTTAATACTATTTATTTTGATTGAGAGAAGGTTTTACTGTGTAGCATAAGTTGATCTCAAAGTAATGATCCTCCTGCCTCAGTCTCCTTAGTGATGCAGATGTAAACCAGATGCTTGACTTGGTACTTAACCATTTCTTTCCTCCCCCCTACCCCCCTAAGGTTTCTCTGTAGCTTTTTGGGGCCTGTCCTGGACCTTGCTCTATAGACCAGGCTGGCCTCGAACTCACAGAGATCCGCCTGCCTCTGTTCCCCAAGTGCTGGGATTAAAGGGGTGGGCCACCACTGCCCTGCGGTACTTATCGTTTCTAATAGCTATTTATCTTCTATTGGAGAAGTTAGTTCCATTTGCAATCATTAGTAGCAGTTTGGGTGGTTTATAGTTTCTTTCGTATTTTAGGTAGGATCTCACTGTGTAGACCAGGCAGGTCTTGATCTGCCGGCCTCTACCCCCTGAGTGCTGGGATTAAAGGTGTATGCCAACAAACCCAGTTTTGTTTTGTTTTTAAAAATTTTTTTTATTGATATTTATTGAGCTCTACATTTTTCTCAGCTCCCCTCCCTGACTCTCCACTCTCCACTTCAATCTTCCCCCAAGGTCTCCATGCTCCCAATTTACTCAGGAGATCATGTTTTTTTCTAGTTTCTACTTCCCATGTAGATTAGATCTATGTAAGTCTCTTTTAGTGTCCTCATTGTTGTCTAAGTTCTCTGGGATTGTGGTTTATAGGCTGGCTTTCTTTGCTTATGTTTAACCACCTATGAGTGAGTACATGTGATAATTGTCTTTCTGTGCCTGGGTTATCTCACTCAAATTAATGCGTTCTAGCTCCATCCATTTTCCTGCAAAATTCAAGATGTCGTTCATTACTTTTTTCTGCTGTGTAGTACTCCATTGTGTAAATGTACCACATTTTTCTTATCCATTCTTTGATTGAGCTGCATTTAGGTTGTTTTCAGGTTCTGGCTATGACAAACAAAGCTGCTATGAACATAGTTGAGCACATGTCCTTGTGGCATGATTGAGCATCCTTTGGATATATACCCAAAAGTGGTATTACTGGGTCTTGAAGAAGGTTGTTTCCTAATTTTCTGAGAAATCACCACACTGACATCCAAAGGGGTTGTGCCAGCTTGCATTCCCACCAGCAGTGCAGAAGTGTTCCCTTTTCCCCACAACCTCTCCAGCATAAGTTGTCATCAGTGTTTTTGATCTTGGCCATTCTTACAGGTGTAAGATGGAATCTCAGAGTTGTTTTGATTTGCATTTCTCTGATGACTTAAGGATGTTGAACATTTCCTTAAGTGTCTTTCAGCCATTTTAGATTCCTCTGTTGAGAGTTCTCTGTTTAGGTCTGTACTCCATTTTTTATTGGATTATAATTTGGAGATCAGACCTCTGTCTGATGTGGGGTTAGTGAAGATCTTTTTCCATTCTGTAGGCTGTCATTTTGTCTTGTTGACCATGTCCTTTGCTTTACAGAAGCTTTTCAGTCTCAGGAGGTCCCATTCATTAATTGTTTCTCTCAGTGTCTGTGCTGCTGGGGTCCTATTTAGGAAGTGGTTCCTTGTGCCAATGCGTTCAAGTGTACTTCCCACTTTCTCTTCTATGAGGTTGTATGTAGTTGGATTTATGTTGAGGTCTTTGATCCATTTGGACTTGAGTTTTGTGCATGGTGATAGATGTGGATCTATTTTCATTCTTCTACATGTTGATATCCATTTATGCCAGCACCACTTGTTAAATATGCTTTTTTTTCCCATTTGATATTTTTTGCTTCTTTATCAAAGAGCAGGTGTTCGAAAATGTGTGGATTGATCCCCAGGTCTTCTATTTGGTTCCATTGGTTCTCCTGTCTGTTCTTATTCCAATATCAGGCTGTTTTCAGTACTGTAGCTCTGTAGTAGAGTTTGAAGTCAGGGACTGTGATGCCGCCAGAAGTTCTGTTATTGCACAGGATTGTTTTGGCTATCCTGGGTTTTTTGCTTTTCCATATTAAGTTAAGTACCGTTCTTTCAAGATCTTTGAAGAATTTTGCTGGAATTTTGATGGGCATTACGTTGAATCTGTAACAAACCCAGTTTAAAATTGTTTTTGTTATTCAACAATGCTATAATAAGTTGTTTTGCTTTCTCTTGTGAACTTCTTGCTGTGTTTCCCTAGCTGACCTTAAGATCATGGCAAGTCTCCCACTTCAGCCTCCCAAGTGCTAGGATTATAGGCATATACTGCCATGTTCAGCATTTAAATTTAAATATTCTCATGCATATACTTCCTGCAACCTTGTCTAATTATTTTCATAAAACAATTGTCAAATTTCTAGATCACTTTAGAAAAGGTTTAAAGATTTATATGTATATGTCTATGTCTGTATGAGTTTATGCCATGTATGTGCAAGTACCTATGGAGGCCAAAAATAGGCATTGGATCCCTTGGAGTTGGAATCACAGGTAATTGTGAGTCTCAGCAGGGTACTGGGAAATGAACCCCAGTACTGTGTAAGAGCAGTCAAGTGCATTTTAACTCAGGATTTCTCCAGCCCTAACCTTAGAAACTTTGATACATGTTAGCAAGTTGTTCTCCAAGAAACTTAATTTACAACCTGGTTGTTTGGGCTATAAGAAGGTGTTTCTGCTTCACTCTTACTGCCACTGGATATTATTACTTTCTAATTCTAATTTTGTATGAAAGGATATTTCTGCATTAGTGTTTAAACTGGACTCCAGTGGTCATTGAACTGATTTTAATGTTACTTAAATGTGAACAGACATGGTGGGACATGGCTTTATCCCAGCACCTGGGAAGCAGAGGCAGGCGGATCTGTAAGTTAGAGGCCAGTCTGGTCCACAGAGGGAGTTCTAGGACAGCCAGGGCTACACAGAGAAACACTATCTCAAAAACGAACAAAACAAATTTTATGTTAACAAACAAGACTACAAAATTAGCAGGATTATAAAACCAATATTAAAATGATACAATTGTACACGTCAGAATTGGATGGTCCTCAGGAATTAGTGGTAACTGCTGAGGTAGAAGCTCTTAGGGGTTAGCATGCATACACTTACCCTGTGTTTATCCAATGTTAGTTCAGTTCTACTGCTTTTCTGTAATTCAAGCTAGTTCTCCATTAGGGTGTTGAGTATGTGGGACAGGGCCTACTCTAGTCCAGACGGTTCTTTTTTTTTTTTTTTAAATTAGAAAATTCCAAGAATGGGTTCAATACACATTTATTTAAAGTGAGGCATCTGCAGAACAAATAATTCTTAAATTGTGATTCAGGTTGAAACAACTTCATAAAAATATGCTGAGACCAGGCACATCCACAGATCTCAACTACAAGATCACTTCTTTGCCTATTATTCTTTCTCTTTTCTTTCCTGAATAACTTCTTTCAGATAGGGTTTAAGGTAGAATTTGTCCTCCTCATATTTTGTCCACTGCTCCTTAGGCAAGATCTGATGCCGCATGCTCAGGTCCAGGGCTCTCTTAATTCGAAACATTCTGTCATTATAAAGATGCTCAGGAAGCCTTCTTATGGCTTCTTCCACATCTTCAGTCTCATGTAGTGTATCATCTCGCATTAATCCCAGTTTGTTGAATCCAACAACATTATAATACCATTTTCGGGGCTGGAGAGATGGCTTAGAGGTTAAGAGCACTGCCTGCTCTTCCAAAGGTCCTGAGTTCAATTCCCAGCAACCACATGGTGACTCACAACCATCTGTAATGAGGTCTGGTGTCCTCTTCTGGCCTGCAGGCATACACACAGACAGAATACTGTATACTTAATAAATAAATAAATAAATAAATATTTTTAAAAAAATTACCATTTTCGAAAACCATACAGCAGGTCTGCCCGCCATCATGACCTGAGATCGAAGCCCAGACAGTTCTTGAACTTACTGCAGTTCTCTTACTTTAGCTTCCTCAAGTGCTGGGTTACAATACAAGCCAGCTTGCCTATTAGTGCTTCCTATATATTATGTATTTATCTCACTGGAAAATTTTTCATGAATCACTTGACCTTGTCTCCTTTTGTTTGTTGATTTAGCCCAAACATGGAACACATTCTGGCACATAATAGATTCTCAAATATTTGATTAGTAACTGCATTCTTAGGAACATTGATGTTTGAGATGATGCAGAGCAATAGGTAATCCTAAATACAAATGAGAATGCTCTTACATGATAAGAAGAGAGTAGGAAAGTCTAGGAAGATAAACACTGGCTTAGGGGAAGACTAGCTATTGTGACCCATAGGGGAGTCGTGGAAGAGGGAGAATGTGACCTTTGCTCTGTGGTACTTAACTAAGTCCTGGAGATGAGACAAAAAAGGCACTGCAGTTGATGATGACCATAGATATGCTATTTGTTTCTAGGACCTTTGTATTGGTGACATGAAAGGGAGAAATTCTTTTTTCGATGTCTTTCTTCCCTACCTTATGTTTTATTTTCTTAGCCAAGAACTATGCCATAGTTTTAGTTCAGCTCCAATAAAAGAATTACTACATTCAGATTTTTCAGTATTGATAAAATTTTAAAATGCTGATGTCTGAAAGAGGAAGGAGAAATATGATTGAAATTAACTCATCTGACAGGCGGTGGTGACGCACACCTTTAATCCCAGTACTCGGGAGGCAGAGGCAGGTGGATGTCTGAGTTTGAGGACAGCCTGGTCTATAGAGTGAGTTCCAGAACAGCCAGGGCTACACAGAGACGCTGTCTCGAACCCCCTCCCCCCAAAAAAATTAACTCACGCAAGGTAAGTAACCACTAACAGTGCTTATTAGCATTTATCCCTTCTGTTTGAAGAGAGTATCTGTAAGGAAGCTTTAGTATATACCTTTTGGTATATAGCCAAAAGTGGTATTGCTGGGTCTTGAGGAAGGCTGTCTCCTAATTTTCTGAGAAATCACCACACTGACATCCAAAGGGGTTGTGCCAGCTTGCATTCCCACCAGCAGTGCAGAAGTGTTCCCTTTCCCCACAGCCTCTCCTGCATAAGTTGTCGTCAGTGTTTTTGATCTTGGCCATTCTTACAGGTGTAAGATGGAATCTCAGAGTTGTTTTGATTTGCATTTCTCTGATGACTAAGGATGTTGAACATTTCCTTAAGTGTCTTTCAGCCATTTTAGATTCCTCTGTTGAGAGTTTTCTGTTTAGGTCTGTACCCCCTTTTTTATTGGATTATTTGTTCTTTTGATGACCAATTTCTTGAATTCTTTGTATATTTTGGAGATTAGCCCTCTGTCTGATGTGGGGTTGGTGAAGATCTTTTCCCATTCTGTAGGCTGCCATTTTGTTTTGTTAACTGTGTCCTTTGCTTTACAGAAGCTTCTCAGTTTCAGGAGGTCCCATTTATTAATTGTTTCTCTCAGTGTCTGTGCTATTGGGGTTATATTTAGGAAGTGTGGCTGGTTTTATGTTGAGGTCTTTCATCCATTTGGACTTGAGTTTTGTGCATGGTGATAGATATGGGTCTATTCATTTTTCTACATGTTGATATCCAGTTATGCCAGCACCACTTGTTAAATATGCTTTATGTTGAGGTCCTTGAGCCACTTGGACTTGAGTTTTCTGCAAGGCAATAGATATGGATCTATTTGCAATCTTCTACATGTTAACATCCAGTCAAATGCCAGCACCATTTGTTAAAGATGTTTTCCTTTTTCCATTTTATCATTTTGACTTTGTCAAAAACCAGTTGTTCATATGTGCATGTATTAATGTCAGGGACTTCACTTCAATTGCATTGTTCACCTGTATGTTTTTGTACCAATACCAAGCTGTTTTTTATTACTATAGCTCTATAGTAGAGCTTGAGGTCAGGGATAGTGATGCCTCCAGAAGTTCCTTTATTGTACAGGATTGCTTTAGCTATTATGGGTTTTTTTGTTTTTCCATGTGACATTGAGTAATGTTTTTTCAAGGTCTGTGAAGAATTATGTTGGGATTTTGATGGGGATTGCATTGAATCTGTAGATTGCGTTTGGTAAGATTGCCATTTTTGTTATGTCGACCCTACCTGTCCAAGAACATAGAAGATCTTTCTATTTTCTGATGTCTTCTTCAGTTTCTTTCTTAAGAGACTTAAAGTTTTTGTCATACAGGTCTTTTACTTGTTTGGCTAGAGTTACCCCAAGATATTTATATTTGTGGCTATTGTGAAGGGTAATGTTCCTCTGATTTTTTTCTCTTGGCCTGTCTATAATTTGTGTATAGGAGGCTGTAACTTTATTGTTTAAATCTCCTGTATTGTTTAGTTTGGAGGGAGGGTATTCCCAAGCTGTGATAGCATGTGTGGTCAAAAGACAACTTCTGGGAATTGGTTATTTTCCTTCTACCATGCCTGTGGGTCCTGGTGCTCAAATTCAAGTATATAGGCTTGGCAGCAAGCATGTTTACTCTCTGAGCCATCACATGGACCCAAAGTAACTGTAAAGAGCCTGTATTTCGATTCTATAGCTTGGAAGGGTCAGACCTACATTTACTAAACATCCAGTAACCAAATATTCTTCTCTGGATCAAGATCTAGAGAAAAGCCGGGCGTGGTGGCGCACGCCTTTAATCCCAGCACTCGGGAGGCAGAGGCAGGCAGATCTCTGTGAGTTCTAGACCAGCCTGGTCTACAGAGCTAGTTCCAGGACAGGCTCCAAAGCCACAGAGAAACCCTGTCTCGAAAAACCAAAAAAAAAAAAAAAAAAAGATCTAGGGAAAATGCTATATTACAGAGGTGATGATCTGAGTATGCTTTTCTTTCTTTGTTTTTTTTTTGCTTGTGTTTGTTTTGTTTTGTTTTTCAAGACAGGGTTTCTCTGTGGCTTTGAAGCCTCTCCTGGAACTAGCTCTTGTAGACCAGGCTGGCTTCGAACTCACCAAGATCCACCTTCCTCTGCCTCCCAAGTGCTGGGATTAAAGGTGTGCACCACCGTCTGGCGAATCTGCTTTTCTTATTCCTTTTGTTCCCTTCTTTGCCTTCCTCTCCTATATTTTTATCAACCTATCTAACTTTCTCATTTCTAATCCATGTTTGCCCAGCCAGAGAAGGATTGTGCTGTGAAGATCGGGAAGCACCTTGTGGCCTGAAATATAGGAGAAATGGCTTTAAACTTGAGACATGCTGATTATGTTCTTTCTTCTTCTAGGATGCTCATAACTGTATTCCTGAGCTGGACAACGAGACAGCCATGTTTTCTGTCTACGATGGACATGGAGGTAACTTTAGCAGATCTTATTGGTAACCCTAGACTTTAACGGGCAAGAGAAGGGATGCTTTTGTTCTTTTACTTTCCAGGCTTGAACTAAATATAATAGGTAAGGAAAACTCAAGGGATATGTTAATATACTCCTCAGAGAAATGATATTGAAATCTGTTGTCCGGGTCAGACTTTCTCATTGTTCTACAGCTAGGTCTCAGGTATGTTAAGGTGTTTATCACCTGTGTCCTTGCATGTGGGCAGCGTTGTTTTGTTAATAAAACCTTTCTTTTAGGTGAGGAAGTTGCCTTGTACTGTGCCAAATATCTTCCTGATATTATCAAAGATCAGAAGGCCTACAAGGAAGGCAAGCTACAGAAGGTCTGTCTTTCTACACTGTTAATTTTCCACCTTAATTCTTGGAGGGTTCTCCCTCATTTTCTAACCTTTGGCTTCTCTTTGCTCTCTAGCTATTGATTATCTATAGCATTTTTTCCTCAGAGTCCTATGTTCAAAACAAGCTTCTTCCCAGTTGGATATTTTCAGAATTACCTTATCCGCGGGTCTCTAAACCATTTTCTCTATTTGTGTGTATCTTAGTGGGATTGATCACTCCTGAATTTGCATCCCAACTGTGTGCTTGTGAATGTGTATATTAGGTAGTTCATTTGTACCCACTACTTTTGTCTTACACTACCTTACTTAAATTCAGGCTTTAGAAGATGCCTTCTTGGCTATTGATGCCAAATTGACCACAGAGGAAGTCATTAAGGAACTGGCACAGATTGCAGGGAGACCCACAGAAGACGAGGATGATAAAGAAAAAGTAGCAGATGAAGATGATGGTGAGTGCATCCTGTTAGAGAGAAATAAACAGCTTATTATCCGTTCTAATAAAGGATGTCTTCCTAAGGACCAGGAGAATTTTCACATTAAGAACCCTATATGCGGGGGCTGGAGAGATGGCTCAGAGGTTAAGAGCACTGGCTGCTCTTCCAAAGGTCCTGAGTTCAATTCCCAGCAACCATATGGTGGCTCACAACCATCTGTAATGGGGTCTGGTGCCCTCTTCTGGCCTGCACGCATACATGGAAGGAATGCTGTATACATAATAAATAAATAAATATTTAAAAAAAAAAAAAAGAAGAACCCTATATGCCCGGGCGGTGGTGGCACACGCCTTTAATCCCAGCACTCGGGAGGCAGAGGCAGTTGGACCTCTGTGAGTTCGAGACCAGCCTGGTCTACAAGAGCTAGTTCCAGGACAGGCTCCAAAACCACAGAGAAACCTTGTCTCGAAAAACCAAAAAAAAAAAAAAAAAAAAAAAGAACCCTATATGGTATTCTATATTATATGTTGCTGTAGCAAAGAGAATCAATCTTTGTCTAGTGCAT